TGTGTGTGTGTGTGATGGGTGTGAGTGAGTGTGTGTGTGTGTGTGTAGACATACATTTTTTCAGTCCCGCTGTAATCCTGGATTCTCCTCCATGATTCACACTATAAAACACACACAGACTCATTCAGTCAGTCAACAAACACAACATCACATTATGATTCCAGTTATGATTTTGAAAACAAGATAATCAAGATAAAACAACATGTAAAATCAAAACTGTAATTTGTTCTTTCATGTTTGTCTTTATTTTCAGGATAGAAACTGATCTGCTCTAAAGCTCAGAGATTCTGCAGCAGTAAAATGTTTCCACATCAAATCTCATCTCAGCACTTTTGATCGATGACTACACTATTTTTAATTCATCATTTCATCTGAATATCTATGTATATTTGTGAGATTTAGTACAAACAGTTTTGAGTTCATTGATTTATTTCATGATGCAGCAAAAATATTGTCTATTACAGTAGTCAACATTTGAAGTGGATCAAAAAAGTTCATCAAAGTTGTCCTAATACAAGAAGGGGTATTGTTTTGGCTTTAGGACAACTTTGATGAATGGTTTTGATCCACTTCAAATGTTGACTACTGTATATAGCGAGACTGAAGGGTGTTGAATTTATGTTTTTCTCATTTGTATCTCATCCACTTTTCTGACCAGAAGCTACTCTGTATCTTACTAATGATTCTCTGCAAAAGTTCATGATGCCTATCCACAGTAATGATTAACTGATAGGGGACATAAAGCCACAACCATGACTTCATGAGATATTAATAATGAATTTTAAATTCCAATATTAGTAACTTGTGAACCTTAATGTAAATGTCAAACTTCTCCAGGGCACCAAAACACCCTCAGACCCAAGAGGGTTAAAGACACATCTCTGTAGCCAAGCATTCACATAATGTATCTCATAACCTTGTAATCCAGTTTTATCTGATTGAATACACATTATCATTCCTTGCTTGAAATGGTTTGAACAGCAGCTACACTAATTTTTCTTTATTTGCTTTTCTGTTTCTGCTACGGGATGGGCATCCCATGGAAATTAGACATTACCAGCTTCACATTTTCTGTGAAGCTGCTTTGCAATGATGTGTATCATGAATAGCGCCAAACAAATAAATTTGAATTGAATTTTATAATCTGAGGTAATGTTAACTAATTTACTATGACAGTGACTCCATTATTTATCTAAGTGAGGCTTACAATGATTTACAAGTTGTGAATGTTTGCAATTTAAACTTGTTATCATTTTGATTATGTTTGTTTCCACCTTTTATGGAAGCTGTAGGGAGGTGGGTGCCATTTTTGTTGTATTTTCTCTGTTTTCTCCTGTTTTGTGGCTAGTTAGGGAGTTACAGTACTGTTCTGTGGTTAATTTGGTTTTCTTTGAGCAGTTTAGTTAAGGTTTTACTCTGCAGGCAGAACTTTTATTTTTGTTGGTTTGACCTCGCCCCTAAAGCCAATGCTTCTTATTTAAGTTTTTTTGTTTAAATTGGTGTGTGTGTTGCTGCTCTTTAAATCCTTCATAATGTTACATCATCTAGAAACCCCATAGACTCGTGTAGATGTAGGAGTTTAATTAAGACCTGAAAACGTTTCTGCTCAACATACTTGAGTTTGTCCAGACTGAGTTTGTCGGAGAGCAGCTTCACTCCTGAATCTCCGGGGTGATTGTAGCTCAGATCCAGCTCTCTCAGGTGTGAAGGGTTTGAACTCAGAGCTGAAGACACATAACCACAGCCTTCCTCCGTCACCATACAGCCAGACAACCTACAGACACACACAGCAACAGTCCACATCACATTAGTTTTTCATTTGTGCTGTAGCTGTTATTTTCTGTAGTTTCAGTCACAAAAGTAACAAGTAAAGTAAAAAGATATATTTATACTCCATTAAGAACAGTATCAACATATTTCTATATTGTTACTAGAATGGAAAAGTAAATTGACATAGTTTAATAACAATAATTATAATATGAAGAGTTCAGTTTCAAAAACCGATAAACGCCACGTTTTAAAACTGACTGCCATGTGTTATTGTCCACATATAGCACGTTCTGAACCCTAAACATGTGTTGTCATAAAAGCCGGTATTGTCCACCCTTGTTGTTTGTGAACACAACCCAATAAGTCCTTGATGAACCCGCAATATCTTTTTCGGGCGTGAAAGGAAAATAAAAGCTGAAACTTTTTCACAGAACCTTGCTAAAGCAGCAAACGAATTCGTTTGCATGTTTTATGCAAACGAATAACCTCATGCATGCAGACACTCATTTAGAATACTCCAAATTCACTGACATCAGGACAAGGTTAAGAACAAATTCATGTGTGTACACACTTGTTTTGAATTGGGCAGAAATTTTTAATGAGAAGTCTGAATGCGTGTATAAGTACAAATAATCTATGCAATTATTACTGTCTGAGATGCTATGGCCTTCCCACACACAGCCGCTAGATGACGCTGCTAGCTCATGCAGTGCTGTCGGAAGCTTTACATTCATTAAATAATTTAAAATAGTTTGCTATTTGAATATTAAAAAATATTTTTAAAATAATTTCTGATTTATTCAGTACACATGGGTCATACACCATACAAGGTGAGAAATATAGACATCTATACAAATATGAAAAAAATCATGCCTGAAAATGTTGTTTCTGTCTTGTGTTCTGGCATTCCATTGAGAGCAAATATTTAAAGGTCATTTATTGTAACATAAGTTCCCCTTCAGGAACTCGAGCTGCGTCGAGAATTGCTTTGGGAACTCCCCTGCGTGACCGCGTTCTGAAGCACGTGTACAATCAGCCCAATGGAGCAGCGAGACGTCACGAGCGGGGGGACGTAAGCACCAGGAAGTATAAAAGCACATCCGGCAGAGCGCAAGTCAGCTTCTGCTCTTCAGTAGCGCTCTGTGTATGTGTCAGTCCTATTTATTGTTGTCTGTCAGCACAAGCATTCATATCATGTCAAAAAAAGCAAAGTCTATGGCGAGCGAACGGCATTACAAACATTGTGTTCCTCCCTGCCCACGATATCTGGCTGCGGGGGATACACACGATCTGTGTGTTGTTTGTTTAGGAGCGGAGCATGCACGGTCAGCTCTCGAGGGAGCTGATTGTCATGACTGCGAGTTGCTCTTGCTGCTCGTGCTCCGCTCTCGCCTGGCCGTGTTTGATGAGAGCGGCCAGGCTCGCGATCCCGTTGGCAGCGGTCCCGCTGTTGTCGAGGAGCAGCGTAGACTGTTGTCATGGGGATCGCAAGGGGATTTAGCGGAGGGATCCGAGACGGGCTCGTCCTTTTCTCGGTCCTCACCCGCTAGATCCGCGGCTCCCTCTCAGGGTTCGGAAGCCCGCGCTGCGGTTTCTTCCCCCCAGAGAGAGAGCCAGACCACTTCATCTATCTTCCTCCGAGTAGCTGGATGTGATGAGTGCCGAGACAGAGGAGACTGTGGACTCGCCACCACAGTCCCTCGCGTATGAGGAGCTCGTGGAGGTTGTGACTCATGCTGTAGCCAAATTAAATATCGAGTGGCCAGCCGAAAAACAGGACGCTCGTCCCAAAGGGCAAATTAAACGAGCGTTTCCTGAGGGCGAGGTCACAGCCTTCACGACGGGGCCTTCCGTTTTTTACCGATCTCCATGCCGAGGTGTCAGGATCGTGGGAAAAACCATATTCTTCTCGTATCTATAGCCCCACAGTGTCTAATTATTCCAATATCGTGGGGCTGAATGAGAAGGGATATGGGGCGATGCCAATGGTGGAGCAGACACTTGCTAGCTATCTCTCCCCATCCTCAGCATCGTCCCTGAAGGCCCCGAAGCTTCCCA